ATAATTTCACCCCAGAAAAATCACTTTCCATGAGCTGGGAGAGATCCATCTGGCAGCTCCAAAAAGATGTCTGTCTACTCGGTCTTGGTGCGACGAGAGGGTCGCGGCGAGGGGAGGAAGTTACCGAGGATGACAATGGCAAGCGGCACAATGTTGCCCAGATAGAGCAACCCCTTGTATGCTGTGATGGTCTCCTGCGCTGTCAGCACCTGGGAGAGTAAAGAGAGAGGGGGAGGAGGAAGAAAGAGTGAGTGGTTAAGGGGGTTGCAAGGAAGACAATGCTTCCCAGAGAGAGCAGCCCCTTGCTATGATGGTCTCTTTTGCTTTCGGCACCTGGAGGAGCAGAGGTGGGAGGCGGGAGAGCGGGAGAAGGGGAGGGAAGAGCGAACAGGGTAGGGGATGTATCAGGAGGACAATGTGTATACAGACAGAGAAGGCCTTTGTATGTTGTCATGGTCTCCTGTGCTGCTAGTTACTGGGGGCAGAGATGGGAGGAGGAAGAGGCACTTGCATGCCACCAATCCCACGCCTCACTCGAAACCACGACCGCTATGAATGACAGCGACTCGCCCATTCCAGCCGACAACTGAAGCCACAACGCAGAATGAGCCCGATGGAGACTCACAATGAAACCAATGGCGACATAGTTGTTGCAGAAGCATGCATAGATGGCATGCAGCACCGTGGCCAAGCCCTTGAGGAATGTAGCTTGGGGAGGAATGGCACGCTCGTACTTGTAGATCACTGCAGGGGGGGTGGAGAAGTAGGGACGATGGGAAAGGGGGGACAAGGGAGAAGGGCGGAAGAGCGGAACAGAAATCAACTACTATGAATAGGATAATTGATGGTTGGGGAGGGGTGTGGTAGGGGAAAGGCACAGACGAGAAGATCAAAATGGAGTACTGGGCGAGAGGGGAGATGATAATGGGGTGCACCGCCACCAGCATACCTCGTGAGCCGGCGATCTCAAGGGCCACACCAACGAAGAAGAGAAGGTAGCCGGGGTACAGACCCTGGTGGGCCGACGCACAAGGGCAGGCGGCAAGGAGAGCAGAGGTGGCAGGGGAGCGGAGACGCAAGGTTGGGGGTCTATCACCAAATAGCACTGAGACACAGCAAGTTGCCATGTGACCAGCAAAGCTGTGCAGTTCGTGTACGTATGGTTCCTGAGGCATGTTTTGAGTTGACTCAAAGCACACTCCTTGAGGCACCTCAAGTTGTATGGTTTCATGGCCTTTCACCTCCCTGAGTTATGCCCCCACATGACTGTTTTGATACTTCATTTTCCCGTGACAGCATTTTCCCTGAATTGCGGTTACAACAAACTCTTTTCACTGCTTTCAAGTCATCCCATTCATATTCACTTCATTGCCAGAGGTGAGCCCGATATCCCTCAACTCACTTGTTGCCAAAGCCAAAGCCTAAACCTTACCTCCTTCACTCGTCAGAGCCTAAAACCCCAACCCCTGAACTCACATGCCAGAGCGCGCTGACGATCTGCGTGAGCAGCAGATGCACGAACGCGGGCTTTCCGCCAGCCGGCACCAGGCGCTCGTACACGTCTGCGCGCGCAGGTTAGTGGGAAAAAAGTGAACGGGGGCGGAGGTGTGGGGACGTGGGGGGATTGGGCAAAGGCAGGCAATGGGCGAGGACGAGGGAAGAGAGACATGGGTCACGCCCAGGCAGCGGGCAAGGGGTGTATACTTGCTCGGGCAGTAGCACAGAGAGCTGCATGAGGCACGAGGTTGGATGACTCACAGGTGCGCAGCCAGAGGCCGACGGAGATGTTCCAGTTGGTGGCGAGCGTGGCCGTGCTGGTGGCGAGCTCGACGCCCAGAATGTGGCAGTTCTGCGCGCGCTTCCACGACGCCACCTCCGTGAAGCTCCCGCCCACGTGCTTCTCCTTCTTCTCCCCCCCGTTCTCCTTCCCCCCGGCGTCCCCCGCCTCCCCCTTGCCCATCTTGCGCACCCACCCGCTGAAGCCCAGTCCCGCGGCGATCATGGCAGATTCGGAAATGGACCAGATGAAATAGTACTTCCAGCGGGTGACCTCGCACGCGTGGTAGATGAACAGGAAGCGCCGCCAGTACGGCATGGCGAAGTACACCTTGGGCGTCTTGAGGATGTCTATATCGAGGATGGACGCGAGCTTGAGCTGGATCACGGCTGACACGATTCCCTGCACGAACGCGCGCAGGAACGGCACGAGCGCCGGCGGCGTGCGCGTGCCAGGCGCCCAGATCTGGCGGAGGAAAAGGGGGGGAGGAAGAGGGAAGATGGTAGAAGGGTTGAGGGATTTGAAACGCTAGCTTTTGTACGGTGGATAGAGGTTACGAAAACTCCGGGAGTGCTGTCGAGGAGGCAAACACGACGGCACGAGCGTGAGTAGGGCGCGGTGAGGCACGGTAGGGCACGGTAGGGCGCGGTAGAGCGCGGCACTGACCCCTTTGCGGTTGATCCAGTCGTTGTAGGCGGAGAAGTCGTAGAAGGGGCCGGCGAAGTGCAGCCCGCAGCAGAAGGTGTACCCGAGGAACTGCAGCAAGCTCGGCCGCGCCGCGATCGGCTTCGGCGCGTCGCTGATCGCCGCGGAAGAAGCCGTCTTGCCGTCGTCCGGCTTGCGCGGCTTGCCGCCGTCCTGGTAGTCGTACGCGACGGACGTGACCTTGAGCACCAGGATCATCATGGCGCCTGCTCGCACGGCCATGCGGGAAATGCAGACAGGGACTCGGACAGGAGATGAGCTGGCGAAATATCAGCTGGTGGGAATGAATCTACAGATGGAATTTTAACTGGACTCCAGAAGAACAGGGAAGGAGCTGACATTTGATTTTATCTATCCCTCTGGGCTGTTGGTACAGGATAAGGCCTTCTAATCAACGCGAATATACGCCGTTCTGGTGTTTAGTTCGCTTCAGAGCAAATTCAGCGACCATGTATTTGACAATGCAGGCTCGATGACTAATGCAGCAAGTCAAGTTTGGGAAATGCAGCATTGGTACGGACGAAATTGCACGGAAGCTCACCAGTGAAGTCGATGTTTCCTTGCCGCCACGAATCGCCACTCATGTAATACACATGGCTGCACACGAACAAGGAAACAATCACATCGACATCAGATCCGGGTTACTTTCGAATTCTATAACGACGAGTAAATCGTGCTAACCAGCACTTCGCAGAGCACGAAGCACGACTGGACTCAACGGGAAAAACGGAAGCAATCGCTGGGATTCGGACTCACCAGCCGATAAGGTAGATGAAGGTGGTAAAGAAGGTGATGACCCCGCATTTCTTTCGGTAAACGAGCATGGATCCGTACGCCACCACGCACGCCACCACGCAATGCCCCAGAGACTCATATCCGAACGCAATGTACGTCAGCACGAGACCCGAGAGCGTGGCCCAGATATGGCGGACGGTGCCGGCTGGGAGGAATCGCTGGATGAAGCAGCACGGGATGCTGATCAGGTAGCACACGAGGAACTTCCCGATCCCCACGGAGAGCCCGAGCGACGCGCAAAAGTCCTCGAATCCAGCCATGCCTGGCTGGGTAAAAGAACACAGAGAAAACTGTGTTGGGAACGAATCTAGGAGTCCACTGCGGCTTTCCTGCGCCTGACTCCAGAGACAGCTCTTCTGAAGTACAGCCGAAGGTATTTAGCTGCTCTGAAAGTGCTTCGGGATTGGAAAGTGGAGAAGAAAAGTAGAAGAGTGGAGTCAAGCAAGGCGAGGCGACCTTGAGGTTGCTGTCGGAATTCGTTCATGCAGGTTGGTCCAGTTCGGTCGAGGGAGGCATGCGGATCCAGCCAATCAGAATCCAGAATTTCCAGACAAAATCTGGCAATGGATGTGGGGAGAGGAGGGGAATCTGTGGTGCGCGGAAAACTTGGGTTGAGAGGGGTTCGACACGACACGACACAGAAAATTCGGTGGTTTGGAGTTCGGGCTGAGCCTGACTATGCTTGCAGTGCAGATGGTCGCCCACCGCTCGATGCTCGTTCGAGTATGTTCGTCGCCTCCAGACATCACATCCCACAAGCGAGGAGGAGATGACCACCTCGGCCTAGTGGCCTATGGCCAGCTGGCCAATCCAGAGCTTTCCCTCCCTCCGCATGGCTTGATTTGAGCGAGTCGTGACTCAGACACATGCGAGCCACACATACTGGTCTTGATGCCACACTGACGAACATTAATTCCCTCCAAGCAGCCATTCGGTAACGCTATAAAATCAATTATCCATCTATCGATAGGTTGTAAGGAGCTACACATTATGGGTGTATACACCTTGTTTTGCCAATCCCTAGGTTTCCCGCCACTTCCTAAACATATGATCATGATTCATGATCAACCACCATCATCTCCACCACCTCCAGCAACTCCGCCACTCCCACACATCCTCCACTCACCCAACTTCCCATTCCGCGTAACCCGATCGCACATGTCATTGACCCAAGCTAACCCGTTATCCTTTCATCTTCAGCAGCGCGTAGCCACCAGGGCCCATGGAACTGGCGTACAGTGCCGTGAAAAGCCTAACAGGAACGATTCTTGGAAAGCGATTATGGAGCGAAAGCCATCGGGGAGGAAACAGCATTCCGTTGCCGACAGGCAAACGACCCTGTGTTGATAAGCCTGGTGTCTTCGCTCTCGTCCCTCATGCTCCGGTTTCGAATTTTCGCCTCCCAGTACGCGCGTCGGCACACAAGGAGGGTTATGGCTTGCGCGATTACGCGTTCCCTTATCGAGGCGGGAAATCCTCGTTAGAATCACACTCTCGAGCGAGTGCGCTAGGACGGCATGGAAGCGACAACGAAGCTGGTGGCCTTGTCGATTTCCAAACTTATGCTAGAGAGCCTCATATCGGAGACGCGGGTGTACGAGCTCAACGGGCATTGACCAATGCAAGCAGAGCAGGTATCGGCGCAGCGGATCTCACGGATAACGAAAGTGTGTCTATAACGGAAGGCTCCCTGCCAGGCGCATATCTCACTGACGGGGGGAAGATGACTCATACTAACGGGAGCACTAACCAGCCTAATGACTTTAACGACAGCGTCCCAATTCCCGCCGATTTTTCCGCTGGTAACGGCGTTAGCCCCGCGACGCAAGCGCGGCGGCGTTTCATAGAGGACAAGGGCGCGGGGGACAACGTGGCGGCAGAGCGGGCGGAGATGCTTGCGCGCGTTCTTGCGCCGAGCGGTGACTGCCTTCCGCGGATCAAGCTCGGCGCGGCCGGGGGCGCGGGGGAAGCTTCAGCGGGGTGGGTGGGAGCGGAGGGAGCCTCGCGCGCGAACACGACGCAGCCAATCAGACGAGCCCAGCGGCGAACTCTCACTCCTAACGGCGGCGAGTCGTCGTTCCCGTTGTCTGTCGCCTCTGCGACCACCTTCGTCGCCGCGTGCGTCGTCGCTGCTGGCGCGGCCTTCGCACGGCACAAGTCGCTACCCGCTCCGCCTGCTGCCTCTGTCTCAGGTTCGCCCCAACATCTCCGCGTGCCCGTCCCAATATCTCCGCGTGCGTCAACCTCTAACACCGCTGCATGTAAAGCATCCACGGCATCTCCGTCTCGCCTGTGCAATCTCAATCAACTTGCTGACCCTCTCAGTTTATGCCTTGGTCTATCCGTTTTTTTCCCACGTCCCCTCCTCCCATCTCTAGAACTGCACATTCCACTGTCCGCTCTTTTCTTCAAAGTTCAATTCTTTCACCCCCCTTCCCCTCGCCCGCCTCGTCCCCTCTGCCTCTTTCCCCACTGCCTCTTTTTCCTTGACTTTCCTCCCGTTGTTCGCTTCCCCCTTGCCTCTTTCCCCTCTGCCCCTCCTCCCCGGCTTAATGGCTTTTTCCCTCCCGGTCTCTCTCATGCAGCGATGGTGGCGCCTGCCAGTCTGCCAGTCAAGGATCAGGTCGGTCCGCTGCACAGCCATGCCCATGCTCCCGACAACCGCTTCTCATGCTCCCAACACGTGCTTCTCATGCTCCCAACACGTGCTCCTCATGCTCCCAACACCTTCTTCTCATTCTGCTAAAACAAGCTCACACATGCCTTTTGTTCCGTTCCCCCAGGTGCTGGGCCACTATGCGGTGGAGGAAGCACCGCAATCGGATCTGCGCCCCGTGCTGGGTGATGGCAGGTGAGGGGTGGGCGATGGCAGGTGAGGGGTGGGCGATGGCAGGTGAGTCGACTGCTGCCCACAGGTGCATGCCACGTCAACGTGTCATTTGTGTGACGCCGTTGCCTTCACCCTCTCGCTCCCCTTTCATCGGCTTGTTTTCCTCCATCCTCTCAGCATTTTCATCTGTCTGCCGTCCACCCCTCCATCAACTGCGTCCCTCCCACCTCGTTTGTGGCTTTAGAGAATTCTCTTTAGTGTGCAGCTGCGCATGTACAGCAGCAGCAGCTAAGCATTTCTCTTAGCGTCTGCAATTCTCTGCTGTCCCGCGTTGTATTCTGTGCCCCCTTCGTCTGCGCTCCTTCCTCCTGCCGCCTTCCAGTGTGCAGCTGCGCACAGCAGCAGCGCGCTCGTTCCTGTCAATGCAGGACGCTGCCAGGCGGGATGGCATCTTCCTCACGCCGCTCTCCGGGTGAGCCTCCCCTCCCACTCGTCCTCCCCACTCACGCCCCTCGCCGGATAGGTAAGCCTCTCCACCTACCAACTTTCAACCCTCAAGTGAGTAGTCGTGCACTCAGGCGCCGGGTAGGTAAGCCCCTCCACCTCTGTTCCTCTCAACCCTCTTGGCCGGTGCCTGTGTGCATGACAACCCACGCCATCGAGGTGCCCTTCCTCCCAACTCCCACGTCGCATCTCACCCACTCTTTCGTGTTTCTCACATTCAAACGCCCTCCGTCAACCTTCAACTTCTCCCTCCCTTCCCGCTTTTCCCAGGTTCTGGTCAGTGCACGACAAGCAGTCTTTTATCCGGAGAGTAATCAGCTCCCAGACAGCCCCCCTAACTGATTCTTCTTCTTTCTACCTCCCCCCTGCCCCTTCTGCCTCCTCCAGGTTCCGGTCAGTGCGGGACCAGCAGTCGGTGTTCTACGGAGTGAAGGCAGCGCGCAACCAGAACATCAGGCAGCGAGCCAAGGTGCCCGGAGGGGATGTGGGTTGACGTGTGTGTGCTAGTAGGGTGACTTTTGAGTCGACTCAAAAGTCACCTCGTTACGAATGCATCGTGCAAGCAACCAGAACATGAGACAGCGAGCCAAGGTGCCCGGAGGGGATGTGGGTTGACGTGTGTGTGCGAGTAGGATACGGTACACGTGTGTGCGATGGACTGGTTCAGGTGCAATGGGGTCTGCAACCCGCTGTTACAACACCTTGCTACAACTGCTCACCACACTCCCCTGTTTCAACCCCTTGCAACCAACCCCCTGCAACTAACCCCTTGCTTCAAACCTACTATGGTGGTGTGGTGCTCCACCTGCTGCTGTGCCTTCACAGTTGTCGGCCCCACCAGGCTTCAGTGAGCATCACACGGGCTATGCACTTGACATTGGGGATGCCAACTCGCCTGCCACACATCTTGAGTTTGGTACGATTGGAGTGTGTTGGCTGAGAGGATGTATGATGGTGCAACATGGTGAATCTGTGATGGTGCGAGGTGGTCTGTAAATGTAAACTTTGTTCATGGTGTTCCACAGAAGAATTGGAGTTGATTGATATTGTGCTTCTTTTTTTTGCCTTTGTGTGCAGATTTTGAAAACACCGAAGCGTTCTATTGGCTTCAAAAGAATGCCAATAGGTGAGTTCTGTTGCCTTAGCTGCTTTTGGAGTGTCAAAATCTATCACATACCTTTGATTTGCCGCCTTTGTTGTGCAGGTTTCACTTCGAGTTGTCCTTTCCACCTGATAATAGAAGGGGAATCATGTATGAGCCATGGCATTGGCGATTTGTTGGAGACGATCACAGCACCTTCACCTTCTATGGCCAACGAGTCACTTCTGCAGAACACTAGACACTTGCGGATCATAATTTTCCTGTAAAGCTGATCGCAAATGAAGACATTGATTCTAAAATAAAAATTCCTAATTCTAAGTACATATTCTGAAATGCAGTTTTCTTGTACCAAGAGAGTGATTGAGATAGTCGATTTGCACACAAACAACGGTCTCGATCTCATATGAAATTGGGTTTCCAATCTTGTCTTGAGGCCGTGACCCTCTATTCGCCAGCTCTCCTGAAACCTAGGCCCACCGTCGTGCAGAAGCGGGAAGCGTTCGATTGCCAAACAATGTTGACATGTCCATCCAACGGCTGAGGAAACGTGTTGGCGACTCACAATTTCATCCATCTTGTGGCTGTTAGTTGAAATTGTCGGCCAGCTCTCTGATTGGATGATGGCTTGTAAGAAGCCTCCAGCTGGCAATTCCAACGAATCCTGTGCATGTTTTTAGATACCCCTGTCTGGAACCTCGGGTCCAAGTGGAATTCTAGCGAGTTACGGGTTGACAGCTAGGCAAGGTTGTTGGTTTAAAGATTGATGCGATGGTCCACTTCCTGCCCTTCAGCTTCACCGTTTGCCTTTCAAAGAAAAAAATGATCAAAAACAGTAGTGTTCAGTAACTGGTTTAGGTTGCATAATAGACAAGTTCCTCACACATCTTTTATATTTGTGCTGCCCGTATATCTCAATCAAACTTGACTGGCCTTTTTACTGGCCATGTTTGGGCGACTTAAATCCCGCCACGTGTACACTCGCGCTAGCAGCTCCCCGGTCGCGTCGTCGGCCAGACTCGGTTCTCCTTGGTGGTGGGCGGACGCCATTCGCCGGCCGCCAAGGTTGGACCTCCGAGCTTCTGGAAGGTTGAATCTTTACCAGGCGCGCGCGGGAAACAAACCTTCCCCCCTGCCCTTCTGGTCGCTCCGCCCCGCGCCGGGGCCTCAACCCCTTGTCTATCCAACCCTCCTTGCAACTTCAACCTCCCCCCCCCTCCTCCCCCTCGCTCCCCTGGTCGAGCGGTTCGAGTATTTATCGAGGGCAGCCACACCAGTATCATCAGAACTCCAGTTTTCCGAATCCTTCCAGTACCTCAGTTTCTTCAATTCATTCCTAGCAGTAGCCCTTGAAGGCCACTCGGGAGCGCCACAATAGCTACGCCTTTTGGATTAAGGGCTAGTCTTCGTTACCTCCAAGCTAAGCCGCTCTCAATTATGGCCTCCCTGGTCTGCTTCCCGTTCAAGGAGGAAGACGTCACCGTCGCCGTTCGGAACGTCGAAATTGCAGCGTCGCACCCGTCAGTCTCCGCCGTTCTCGGCGTGGGATACTCCAAGGGCGAGACATGGCACGCCATCGAAACAGCCGCGCCGGGAATCGAGAAGCGCACGGGTAAGCGCGTCATCCTGCGCCTGCAGCGCCGGATAGGCATGAATCTGCGCGGCGGCAAGGGCGACGGCATGAACACGGCGCTGCAATTCTTCGTCGAGCACCGCGAGTTCGAGCGGCTCCATTTCTACGACGCCGATATCACCTCCTTCTCCGGCGAGTGGATTTCCAAATCCGAGAAGCAAGCGGACCTTAACTTCGACATCGTGCGGCACTACTTCCCGCGCTCCTCCACCGACGCCATGATCACGTGGCTCGTCACCAAGATCGGATTCGCGCTGCTCTGGCCAAACTCGGTGCTTCCGCACATCGAGCAGCCGCTCGGCGGGGAGCTGCTGCTGACGCGGCGCGCGGCGGAGGTGCTGGTGGCGGACCACCGCGTGCGCACGCAGAGCGACTGGGGCATCGACACGCTGTACACGTTCGTGACGGCGCAGGCGGGGCTGCGCGTGGCGGAGGTGTACGTGCCCGAGGGCAAGATGCACGCGCTCTACGGCGGCCTGCGCGACCTGCGCACCATGCTCATCGAGTGCTTCTCCGCCGTGCAGTCGCTGAAAACGGAGAGCCTCAACGACGAGGGCAACCCCGTGATTCACCGCGTGGAGTTCGCGCGGCCCGTGCCGGAGGCGGTGCGCAGCAAGGTGGGGTACGACGTGGAGAAGACGCTCAAGCTGCTCAAGGAGCCGCTCACGCCGCGCATGAAGGACCTCCTCAACCAGTACTTCGACCCCGCGCTCGCCAAGGTAAGCCATTGAACTCATTTTGTCTTTATGCATATATTATTAATTTATTTTGCTAATCCCAAATTCTTCATTGTCCATGTTAATTTGGTCACCCGTTTGCGTGTTTACCCTTCGCAATTGCCTTTTCCCAGTCGACTTTTACTTCTGGAGTCTAATTCGTTTTATCCTTGTACCGCGTGGCTGTGTGTGCGCGCAGGGGTTGATAATGGCGACGGAGTGGCCGACGTGGTCGTTCTGCGACGAGGAGGCGTGGGTGGCGGCGTACATTCGCTTCCTCGACCACTTCGAGAAGGGCGACGCGGACTGGGAGGAGCTGCTCTTCCGCGTCTGGGTCGCGCGCGTGCTCAACCACACCATCCGGTACGCACCGGAAACGGACACATCTTCTATCACCTTTTTGTCTTTTTGCTTGTTAGCCCTGTTCTGGTCGTGCCTGTGCCTGACGCCTGGCTCAAGGTCTTCGCGCTATTGTTTTTGAAGGGAATAATGCCTAAAACGCCTAAATTTCTATTATCCCTCCTCGATTCCCGCCCCACGTTCCGCCCTTCCCCCTTTCCGTCCCCCAAGGAACGTGATGCGCGGGTACGACGTGGCGCTCGGCGCGTTGCGCGAGCTGGTTACCGAGACGCAGCAGCGGTCGGCGGGGCAGCTGCGCGCGGAGGCGAGCAACCCCATGACGCTAGCGTCGGGGCACACGGCGCTGGAGGCCAAGCAGGACGCGGACGCGTCGTGGACGCTCATGCAGGCCGACTCGGATGCCGTCGCCGCCGTCAACGTGCCCATCGTGTAACCACCCCTTCGTGTAACAATGTAACGCACCTGAATGTGTGACCTCCGCGGCTCCTGGGTGCCAGACTTGGTACTTGGGCTTCTGGGCTGAGCTCTCTGGTTGGGGGATTTGGCTGGATTAGTGAGCCGTGCCGTGAGTCCTCATGCTGCTGGAAACGGAGTAGTCAACACCTTGGGCGTTGAAGCTTTGGTGGTGGTGGTTGTGGTGATGGTGGTGAAGCTGTGGTGTTTCACCCAAACCTATCATGTCAAGCGGTTCACCTGTAGGCATACGAGCTGGATGGATGTGAAGTGGAGGGATGACACGGGGGTGGATGGGGGACACTCCCAGTGGGATGGGAGTGGCAGGCGTGGTGGTAAGCACCTGATTGGCTGAGTGCACCCAGCCTGAGGGCTGGAAACTGGCCTCAGCTCCACAAGCCGGCCTTGTAAACCTGCCCGGCTCTTTCAGGCTAGCATCACTTCTGGGCTTGCTGACACTTGCTGGCCCTCCCTCCAGAACATCTCGGTGTTCACCAATGGGGGTGTCTCCAACAGCTGCTCTTCCTTAGCAGCTGTTCTGAATTGTCAGCTGGGGCGGATATAAAGCAGGCGTGATGGAAGCCTGACAGGGATTATTCCCCAAAGTCTGTCCCGAGGATGACATATAGGTTCCTATTGATAAGTTTATGCTTGGCTGGGATAGGTTCAGGAGGACAAAAGTGTCCAGTATTTTGTACAGGTTATAAAGGTTGCTTTGTCTATAAAATTATGTATTTGATGTTGGTAATCAAGTCTTTTCCAATGCAGCGCCCGTTCCACGCGCAGGTAGATTGAAACCGTTAGATTGGCCCAGGAAAAGGGTAATATAATCACAATGGACGCATGCATGCCACCAAGCTTCCCTTCTCATACTGAAATAGCTTTTCCTTCCAATTTGGCATGTATTCAAAGTGTACGTCTTAAATAAAAAATGCCGGTCATTCCATAACGAGGTTTTGTTCTCCCTTCAAGTTCATCATTTTTCCCAGCCTACGATACCCCATCAGACCAGCGCATCGTCACTTCACGCACAATCCCCCGCCTCCGTTTCAGAAGCGCACTCCGCACCGCACACTATCTCTCCGCGCTTACTCTGCCGCCGCCATCCTATGGCGCAGACGGACGGCGGAGGGCGGGAAGCGGGGGATGCTGGAGAAGCGCCGCGAGAGGGGGTAGACGCGGTGAATCCGAGCCTGAATGCACGAACCTCTGCCGAGCCTGACGATCCCGCGTTTCGCGCTCTCTTTGCGACGCACAAAGAGCATCTGACATGGACTGACACGGGCCGCTTGCGCTGCGCGCTGACTGGTCACGAGTTCCTTCCAACCCACGAAACGCTGAAGCGACACGTGGCAAGCAGAGTCTTCGCCAAGGCGGGGGCGTCGCTCGCGCTCCGGAAGTTCGAGCCGCACGTTGTGCAGTCGCCGGATAATCCGTGAGATCGCACATTTCTTTCGATACAAGCTCACTCCCCCGATAGTAGCACACATATTTGACTCGTCAGCTAACAGGTGTGCTCATGATTCATCACAAGATTCTTCTTCTAAAATAGGACGCTTGTCCCCATTCGCAATCTAAGATAAACCTCAAACCCTGTCCCCTGTTCATCGCAGCAACAAGCTCCTGTGCACGTTGACGAACAAGCTTATACAGAAATCGGAGGACGCTGTATGGAAGCACATGATGGGCCACAAATTCCAAAAGCAACTCGGTGAGCGTTCTGTCCTTCGATCCCTCGTCCTTCGATCCTTCGTCCTTGTTATTTTCTCCTATCCCCCTTCCTTCCTATGTCGTCAATTGTTCCCCCCTTTCGGCAGTTATGCAGTTGTGAATGTCGGGCTTCCTTCCACCTTTGATCTCCTATGTACCCCCTTGCGCCCCTTGCCCCCCTTGCGGCCCTTGCGCCCCTTGTCCCCTTGCGCCCCTTGCGCCCCTTGTCGTGTGGTGCGCGCAGCCAAGAAGGAGCAGGAGGCAGCAGCGCGGAGGGCGGCCAGGAGGGCGGAGAAGGACGCAGCAAGCCAGCCCGCGACTGGGGGGACGGACGTGGGGGGGGGCGCGGGGGAAGGTCGGGGGGGAGAGGAGGGGGAGGAAGGGGAGGAGTTGGAAGAGGGAGAGGAGGTAGAGGAGGGGGAGGTGGAAGAAGGAGAGGAGGTAGAGGAGGGGGAGGTGGTGGAGGAAGGGGAGGAATGGGAGGAGGTAGAGGAAGGGGAGGACGGTGAGGGAGTGCAAGATGGGGTGGAGGAAGTGGGGGAGGAAGAGAGAGTAGGGGGGAAGAAGAGAGTGGGGGGAGCGAGTGGGGAAACGAAGGTTGCTGAAGAAAAAGCTGAGTGCAGTGAAGGGGAGAGAGAGGAAGAGGGGGAGGAGGATGAGGAGGTGGAGGAGGAGAAGGGAGAGGAGGGCGGTGAGGGGGAGGGGAAAGAGGTGGAGGAAGAAGAAGAGGAAGATGGGGCAGATTTCTGGATGCCACCTGTTGGCGACAGGTGGGATGGGGATGATGGGGGTGATCGATGGGGCAGCAGGGAGGAGAGGAGGGAGGCAAAGCGGAAGCGAAGAGCTGAAGAGGAGGTGGAAGTGGAGGAAGATGAGGAAGAGGACTCAGAAGACGAGGAGGAAGAGGAAGAGGAAGAGGAGGACGACGGGGAAGATGAGGAGGAAGGGGCAGATTTCTGGATGCCTCCTGTGGGTGACAGATGGGATGGGGATGACGGGGGTGATCGATGGGGCAGTAGGGAGGAGAGGAGGGAGGCAAAGCGGAAGCACAGTCAAAGGCAAGCAGAGCAGGTGCAGGTGGGGGAGGGGAGCGAGGAGGGCGAGGAGGACGGAGAGGAGGAGGGAGAGCAGGGGGAGGAGCAGGGAGCAGCTTCACGGGTCACAGCAGCTGCTCAAAGCAATAAACGTAAGCGTAGAAAAGGGGGAAGGGGGCGTTGTTGAGCTGGAGAATCGGGAGCAGGCAAAAAAGGATTGGCAGGTCAGATGCAGCAATGTTACGGCGTAGGGTCTAGCCCGCTTTGTGTGGCAAGAAGGGAGCCATGGCAGCAGCAACCTGGCCTGAGTGCTGTTCTTATGCTGAGTGCTGTCAGCTGAGTGCCTGTGTTTATGTTGATTCATACGGTACCGTATTGGTGTTCTGGCAAAGCTTATGTTGCAATTTATCCCAGCAATTGCTTGTTAAGTTTCCGCTGACATACTGAAGCAGAAGAAATACTGATAACCAATTAAACATGCGAGGTGCAAAAATCATGCACCCTGGTTTCTAAAAGTGGGCTCTACACTACGTCTACACTGTATCCTACTCGATCCAGGGCGTCCCCTCCAAGAACACCCTCCTACTGCATCTCGTGCACATTAAATTAGCTACACTGTAATATCTATTCGCCGAATTCTGTCAGGTGCTCTCAAGCGTCAGAGGGCGAGGGGAGGGGTTCTTCTCAGGGGCCCTGCCCTGATATCAAAGCCCCAATCACAGCTCCCTTGTCCAGACCACCACTCTCACGGGAGCAACACGGCTGGTGCAGCCGTACTCCTTATAAGCCAACTCTATGTCGTGCACATGGCAGAGTGCCGCCGTACTCATGACAAGCCGATTCAGTTATTTCCCCCCCACCTCATTCCACCTTGCCATGCACCAACGCCGGCTGCACCACCTGCTGCTGCTCCAACTGCTTTGCCTCCAATTCAGCTGCAATTCTTTTGCTGCCCACCGCACAGCTGCTCACAGCGGGCGCACTCAGCATGTGCACTCTCCGCAGTGCCCAGTTACCGCCCAGCACCACCACGGGCAGCAGGTTGCCCACAAAGTTGAGCCCTCGGTACACTGTGATGGTGTCCTCTGCTGTCAGCACCTGATAGGTGGGGGAGGGGAAAAGGGGAGGGGAAAGGGAATGGTGGGAAGAGTGAGCATTATGGTGCAACCCTTACACGTAGCAGGAAGGATAGTAAAAAAAAAAACACAGCCACGGCAAACAACACAAGCGACTCACGTTGAAGCCCATAAACCTCACGGGGCGACCCAGGCGGATCAACCAAGTAAGCATCTTACAATGAAGCCCATGGCAATGTAGTTGAGGCCAGCGAAGGAGTAGAGGCAGTGCAGCGCCTGCACCACCGTCGCCCACAGCCACTGCGACTCGGGTATGGTGCGCTGATAGCGGTAGATCACTGTTGTGGGGCACAGTGGGGGCGAGGGGTGAAGGAAGTGTAAGAGAAGTAATTTAGCGCAGCCCTCTCTCAGTGCGGCACAAGGCCTCTGGGACTCGGGGATGGTGCGCTGATAGTGGTAGATCACGGTTGTGACGCACAGTAGGGGCATGGGGCGAGGATGGAGAAGGATGGGAGAGGATGAGAGACGACGGGAGTGAGGGAGGGGGAAACGAGGAACGGCCCACAAAACAAGGCGCATGGTGCATGCTGCATAATGGCACGGTGGCATGGTGACATGCTGGCATGATGGCATGATGGCATGATGGCATGGTGACATGCTGGCATGATGGCATGATGGCATGATGGCATGATGGCATGATGGCATGATGGCATGATGGCATGATGGCATGATGGCATGATGGCATGATGGCATGATGGCATGATGGCATGATGGCATGATGGCATGATGGCATGATGGCATGATGGCATGATGGCATGATGGCATGGTGGCTAATGGCATGGTGGCATGGTGGCAAGCTGGCATGACGGCATGGTGGCATGGGCAATGATGTTCACATACCTCGCGAGCCCATGATGAGGAACGCGCCACTGAACGCGAACATGAAGTCGCCAATGTAGATGCCCTGGTGGTGCACACATGGTGGGGAGGCACCAGGGGCACAGATAGGGGGGGGTAGGAATGGAGGAGATGAGATAAGATAAGATGAGGCACGGATGGAGAGTGGTGATGAGATACGAGAATGAGATAGGGCAGGGGAGCAGTGGTGGTGCAATGGTGGATGTAGGACGCGGGGAATGTGAAGGCGGAGGGGACAGTTGGATCAAGACGGAAATCCGAGGTGAGGAAATGATGTAACCTAATCTCAGCGAACAATACCATGTGTAACCCCCATGCCACGTGGCACTCACATGCCAGATGGCGCTGACACCAACAGTGAGCAGCAGCGACAGCACGCCCGGCTTCTGCCCCGCTGGGATCGTGCGCTCGTAGATGTCTGCGCGCGGGGGGGACGAGGTGGGGGGGCCGGGGGAGGGGGGGAAAGGGGCGGGGAGGGGATGGCAGGGGAAGGATTGTGAGGGTCGGTGGATGAGTCAAGGGGGCTGGTACAATGAGCAGAGAGAGGGAGGATAAGGAGGGAGATGCGGGAGGCATGATGCGGGGAAGGTGGGCAAAGTAATTTATTCGCTGGCTCATTCATGCCATTCGCTATTAACCTTCACTCACATGTCCTCAGCCACAGGCCGACAGAGACGTTCCAGTTCTTGGCGTACGCGTTAAAAGCCTTCGCCAGCTCCACCCCCGCGATGTTGATGTTCTTCGCGCGCTCCCACGACGCCACCAGCCGCGGCTCTGCGACGTCTGCGACCTTCGCCTGCTCCGTTACCACCCCATTCTTCTTTGCCAGAACAATGTTATCCTTGGTCTCCTCGCACGCGGTAAGGAAACCGTTCGTAGCGGGGACAGCGAAAACCTTTTTCGAGCCGATTTCAGGTGCTTCGTTCTCGTCGTTAGCACTGGTTACCCCGCCATTCTTTCGCAGAGGGCTCTTCGCAGCGACCTTCACGGCCTCGTATTTCTTCGCCGCATTCCCAACCGCACTATCACCTAAGACGCCGTGAGGAGCCTTTTTATGAACCACAGCCTTTCTCAAAACCGATTTTCCTTGTTGCCGGGCGGTCGCGGTAATCACGGCGGAATCTACGGCGGCAGCAGTCTCACTGCTCTTACTTCTATCCGGCACTTGCGTCGAAGCGCCTGCGCTTTTGGCGGGAACCCACCCGCTGAACCCTAATCCCGACGCGATCATGCTCGCCTCGGCAACCGTCCAAACGTAGTAGATCTTGCATCGGACGGCGTACGTTGAAATGATGACGTGGCCCCAGCGGTGGAGGTACGGAATCGCGTAGAAGCGCTTCGGGTCGGTGACCAGAGGTAAGTTGAGCTGCGGCTTCAGGACGAGGTGAATAAAGCCGGCAGCCGTCGCCCACGCGAGTGCGACGAGCAACGGGATCGCAAAGGGTGCCTTGCGAGCGTCCTGCGACCACACCTGCGACGGGGGGAGAGCGGAGAGGAGAGGACGACGAGGAGAACTGCACGTTAGCGAATAGCGAGGAAGTGAAAGGAAGACAGGCCCAAGAAAGGTGAAGGGACGAAAAAAGCTATCCTGGGATGGAGGAGAGAGAAGAGCGTACAGATATGACCGGAAATCACGGAGCGTCTTACCCCTCGGTTTTCGGCCCAGTCGAGGTACGGTCTGAGCTCGAAGAACGGGCCCGTGAGATGTAACCCGCCGCAGAAGATGTAACCCATGTACTGCAACGCGGACGGCAGCTCCTTGAGATGGCGGTGCGTGCCGCGCTGCGGCGTCGGAAGGTCCTTATTCACGAGGTACTCGCCGTCTTGGTAGTCGAACGCCGATGACGCCAGCTTCAACGTCACCATCATTAGCGTCCCGGCAAAGTCGATCCCTTGGTCCTTGCGAGCTTTGCCGCTCGCATAAATAATGTGACTGTAAAACGGGGTGAAGGGGGGGAGAGGTGGATGAAGGTGGGGGTGGAGAGGGGACGGAGATTTGAACATTTGCGGAAAGGGAACGAGGTAGGGGGAAGCAGAGCAAGTGGGATTTACAAGAAAATGTTCCTAATTCTAATCATCCAAATTCGATGAGCGGGGGCGCGCAACTCACCAGGCGAGGAGGTACGCGAACGTGCCGACGAGCGTGATCATGCCGCACCGCCGGCGATGCAGCGACATGGCGGCGTACGTAAACGCGACCAGCACGGCGTAATGCCCCCAGATCGTCGGCCCGAACGCGTACAGCGCGAGCAGGAGGCCCGTGAGCGCCGCGCACACGTGGCGGTACGTGGGCGACGCGACGCCGCGGAGGAGGAAGCAGCAGGGGATGGAGAGCAGCGGTGATACTAGCGAGATGAGCGTCGTTGGGGTGATTCCTATTTGCGCGCCGAGGTCCGCTGCGCGGTCCATCAGGGCCGCTGCCATGGCGGATGCGGAAGAGGACCCCTGGAACCTTGTTAGTAAGTTAGTAGCTGGTTAGTGAGCTTGGACAGGCGGACGAGCAACGGCAGAAAACCTAAGCAAAGCTCGTCCTGGAATCAGTATGCTGATGACGGGGCAAGGTTCCTTCGAAGACTGTTAGACGCTAATGGGTACGCTAAAGCAGCGAGAGGGCTGCCTAACTTCCCCTGCCTGGAAGAGTGAGACGAACTGAGAAAGAATGTTAGAAAAGGCCGCCAGCACATAAGGCCCGAGGCACACAGGCATCGTGGCGACGCGGAGGCAAGGGCAGGAGAAGGGAGGGAAATTAGGCGTAGCGGGAAAAGCGGGAGAAGGCTAGGTTAGTCGCAGCAAGACCAAGTGGATGAGGCGTTGGCGACGATCGGTGGTTAGGCGAATCTGCGAAGTGAGGGGCGACTGGCGGGCTGAGCCAAACAAAGAGGCAAGCGACAACGCAGAGAATGGCAGGGCAGGCTCGGGCAGCATACGAAATCATACGATTGGTGGACTGGAACTCCCCTTCGAACACGGTCTCCTGCGACGCGCTGCGATTGCACCTGGCCTCCGTTGGGTTTGAAGCAATTGTGGGCAGGGAACTGGTTCGCCAAGGCAAACCTGAACCAGCGACCCAGTCGCAGGCGGTAAAGCTTGTTAGGTACGGGGCGCCGACAGGTCCCGCCGAAAACCGCTGCGCCAGACCGCGGTGCGGACTTCCAGCCCCCTTGCCCCTGGGCAGGCAGAGTGCGTGGTTGGGGTTCCCGTAAATCCAGGTTGCCAAGAATCTGACGAAGAACCGCTCCTAGGTTAGGGGGCGATGTCTGCCAGACCTTCATAGCCAGGCCTCCCGAACCTGATTCAACAGCGATTCTGTCGCCAGGAATTTGTAGCATTTCTGATTCGCCACAAGTCATCCTCGATATATTATCTATCGAAGTGATGCACAGAATACATGAGAATTTGACGCGCTTTAGTGTACACCACATATGGGCTCCACTTGTGTACCGAGCTGGCAGGAAATAGCTCCACGGCAGTGCTGGCACACTCCAGCGAAGCTTTCCATGTGGAAGGGAGTCACCTCGCACCATCCTGACGTGTAACCGACCTCAGCAGCACGGCCTTCCCCATTCACGGCAAGGAAACTTGGGGCCAGCACGCCCCAGGCAACAACCTTAACCCCCTGGCTGACCTATCAGCGCACGAGGCCTTGTTTCTTCCACCTCGTCAGCGCCACGCATGCAGCACGCCGAATCGCCCCGAACATTCCATCCAGCGCATGCCCCAGCTGCTTCTCCGCCACTGCGTTCTTGCCCGAGCAAAACCCAACAGCTCCTGCTGCCTCGAAAAAGATGCTCTCGACTTTCATATGCGCATCTCGTCTTTCTTGGTTTCCATTGCGCCAGAATCTCGTATCTCGATTCACCAGACATTTCAGCGGGCGAACGACTCTAGACGCGGCCATCCAACGCAAATCTTACTTGAAGTGTCGCAGCTTTTACTCAAGACTACCTACATCCAAGCAGTGGCGGGTATATTAGAGAAGCTAATTGTTTTCAAAGGACCACCGTAGAGAAGTCTTGGCACTCAGCGCATTATGGAGTACCCTCCTCGCAAGATAGCGATAGCCATCGATTTGAGCGACGAAAGCGCCCACGCCGTACGATGGGCTGTGCAGAATTATTTGCGCCCAGTGGACCATGTAAGAACCCGCTACGCGTCTGGAAATATTTAAATCTGAGTTCAATATTACCTTGCTTGAATTTGAGCTTGCTTTTCGGAGCTCGAATAGTCCATGTTCCACAAGAACGTGATGCTCTTTCATTTTGTAGCTTCATTTATCAAGGTGTTTTTCTCGCGTCATTCGCGGTATCAATTCCTCCCTTTTGGGAAATTCCATTGCGTCTCGCCAGGTGATCATCCTGCACGTGCGTCCGACGAGCCTGCTGTACGGCGCGGACTGGGGCGCATGGGAGGCGACGGACGCGGCGAAGGCGGCGGACCGCGAGATCAAGGAGCGCGCGGAGGAGGAGTTCGACGCGCTCACGCTGGCCAAGGCGCGCGAGCTGGCGGAGCCGCTGAAGGCGGCGGGAATCCCGTTCCGCGTGCACATCGTGAAGGACCACGACATGAAGGAACGCATCTGCCTCGAGGTGCGCTGAACGCCTTGCTCGAGGCGGGATTTCAGAAATAGTTTGTGATTCACGCCAGAATCACTCGGGCCAATAATGTGCGGTGAGGAGCAGACGGATGAAATTGCACCAGAGGTAGAGTCGGATTTAGATGTCGAGTGCATGAGGTGAGTGGATGGTAAGTGGGTCAGAGGAGCCATGGCAGCCAAGCTCGAATGAACATCCCATGATGACTTGCAGAAAGCAACTTTTTTTTTTTATAAACGATGGGGAACCTGCTATCACAATAGGTTCAGGCCCTCACCTGCTGCATCTTTCTTGTCATCTTGTCTCTCCTTCTCCCCAAGCTCGTCTCTCTCGTGTCCACATGCCAGTTCTCCATCCAATGAAAGGCCTGATTTGCCATAACAAAAATCTTGAACATTTGAGGAATGTATTTACTCTGCGAATTCACCTCGCAATCAACGCCTCCACCAGGTAGAACAAGAAGACGAGAGTGGTTGTCACATTGGCGACAGTTACCTCGGAGCAACACAATCAACATATGCAATTATATGTCTCCTTGCTCTCTTGCGTCCGCCAGGTGGAGCGTTTGGGGGTAAGCGCATGCATCATGGGCAGCCGGGGATTTGGAGCGCATGGCCGATCGAGGAAGTCGCGATTGGGCAGCGTCAGCGACTACTGTGTGCACCACTGTGAGCCTTTTGTAATTTGTTCAGTGTCGCATGTGAGCGTATGTTGCATGTGGTTTTGTCCACCTCTGCGAGCAATTCTTTATCTCCCATTTTATGGACATGGTGTAATGTTGACCGTTTTACTTGTATCTTCGGTGTTTGGTACTTTTCTTTCGTACAGCATTTTCTGACAGGCATTGGCTGTGCGATGAACGGTTGTGACTACATGGCAGGTGACTGTCCGGTGGTGGTCGTGAGGATGCATGAGGAGAAGCCGTTTATCCACCCACCCTTGACCGCGCTGGCTTCGTGATTACTGTGAAGATGGGAATGAGAGGGTATTGTGCATATACCAGGCCTGTCACTCAAGGGCGGTTTGTACATATGCTAGTCAAGTAGGGGGTATTTGTCAATATCTTGGGAACTCGCTGTACATCATGGTACGACTAGATGGCTCATGTAAGATGGGTTTTCATGCCGTGGCTTTTGTTATGTAATGATATTGGTAGTCTGCATCAATAAATATTGGTAACCAATACTCTAGTTGAGTGTATTCTTGGTGGCAGTGAAGAGGGGCACTTGGATGAGGGGGTACAGTAATGTAGGTTAGTCTGAGAAGCTTGCTTGGAGGAATTAGGATGTTCCCAATCTATTCCACTTCGTATCAGAAAGCAAATCGCCCAAATATCGGCTCGTCCCATCCTACAATTGGCAGGTACTGTTGCTGTAAATTTCAGTTTCATACACTGCTACTCCAATCATAAACCCGGCCCCGGATAACGTGTTAAGTAACATAAAGAAGTTGTGTACCAATGTTCGCAATATCCAGAGGTGTTATAACGAGAATATAGATCGGCCCTTCCCTTCTGGCTTCCACAACAGCCTTCGCATTGAGAAGCCCAGGGATAACTGTTCCTCTAGGCTTCATTGCCGATTGGCACGGCACATTAGTGGAATCTTGCCATTTCACAACCAAGCGGGTAGCTTATTCCCCGCAGTTCGCGCTTCCCGCGGCGAAATTCCGGGCGACGCGGGCTAACTGGCTGCTAGCTGCTCAACTATGGCCATGGCCACGGTGGCTCGCCTCCCCTCTGCCAGCATCCCCGTGAGCTCCCTGAATTCAGGAATTAATCCGTTGGATCACTTTCATCTTTTTTATACTGTAGATATGTACGCTGAACCCTGCCTACGTTCGTTTTTTTTTGCTCAGCTCTCGTCGCTGTCTGCGTGTTCTTTCTCTCGCTCCCACGCCATTCGCCCCTCGCAGTTCGCGGCAGCGCGTTGCTCGGCTCACCGTCCTGGCCGCCGCGTTCGACTCGCGATGACGGATGCGTCGTTCTGTGGCCTGCGAGGCGTCCTAACTCACGTGCGTTGTGATAAAATTGATGTTTTGAGGCGTTCTCAAAACGTCGTGATAAAGGTGATGTTTTGAGACTTCTCAAAACGTCGTTCAGGGGCGTGCGAGGCGTCCTAGCTCACGTGCGTTGTGCTCTCGCATCCCTCACTCGCATAACTTGCGGCCACCACGCAGTCAGTGCCGAAAAATTGCGGTTACACACACGACTATACGAATGTGGTACCGACAGGGTTTCGCAAATGTACAGACGTGAACATATCAATTTAGCTGCAGAAGTGACCAGGCAAGCGTAGCGGACGTGAATGTAGAGTTATGCTCCAGACGCATGGATTCTCACAATTGTGACTCAAGCAGGTTCCAAATCGGTTAGCCATTCCTTGCACTTGCCTGGCTCGTCTAATTATGCCTTGTTTTCAACAGACCACCATGACCGCATGTTGTGAAACCACCATGTGCTCATCAAACATCGATTTTGCACCCACACCCAATTTCCAATCTCCAATTCCTAAGATCCTGTTTGTCCACTTCAATTCCCGGCACGTTACGATTTGTTCTCTCAGAACGTGACGCCGTCAGCCCTGCCACGTCGCCAGCCAATCACTGTTGCTCAAGCCACTGCTGCCCTGCATCGTGCCGAACCTGTCTCCACGCCTGAGGTACAGGCAATGACAGACACAATCCACACGCATGGCAAGCATCATCTGGAGCTCACTGCACGAAGCTCACAGTTAGTGACACACGCACGTACAGCAATCCAACCACATTTTCTGTTCTTGAGTCATCACTCCAGGTATAGTTTTTTTCATCAGCATTCTCAACGATGGGATGCTATGTCTGATGCATGGATGGCATTGTACACGCATGAATGCCATCGTACACGCTTGAATGGCGTTATACACGCATGGAATGTCGCATGAATGAAATGTTTTTTCGCATGGATGACATGGTATGTCGCATGGATGATATGGTATGTCGCATGGATGACATTGGTATGTCGCATGGATGACATGGTATGTCGCATGGATGACATGGTATGTTGCATGGATGGCATGGTATGTTGCATGGATGGCATGGTATGTCGCATGGATGGCATGGTATGTCGCATGGATGGCATGGTATGTCGCATGGATGGCATGGTATGTCGCATGGATGGCATGGTATGTCGCATGGATGGCATGGTATGTCGCATGGATGGCATGGTATGTCGCATGGATGGCATGGTATGTCGCATGGATGGCATGGTATGTCGCATGGATGGCATGGTATGTCACATGGATGGCATGGTATGTCGCATGGATGGCATGGTATGTCGCATGGATGTCATGGTGGCAGGTGGAGGCGTTGCTGGACAGCATCAAGTGGGACGACAAGGGGCTCGTGGTGGCCATCGCTCAGCATGCTGATACTGGCGCCATCCTCATGCAGGTGGGTGGTGGGACCCTGTGCAGGTGGGCGGAACCTCATGCAGGTGGGCGGATTATTTGACCCAGCAGGAGAGGCATTATCATGCGGATGTAGCATTCACATGCGAATAGCCAATATGCTTTTTCATTCCCAAATCTCGACCAATGATGGTGGTTGGTGGTCGACCAATTTGCTGCCACGTCATCCCTGCAGGGATTTGCGAATCGAGATGCGGTGTCAGCCACTCTGGCTTCGGACCGCGCCACGTTCTTCAGCCGGTCACGGAAGTGCCTGTGGACCAAGGGCGAGACCTCAGGGCACTTTATCAATGTGCTTGACATGTTCATTGACTGTGATCGGGACACGGTGAGTGCTGGAAGAGCCGAGAAGAATGACCATGAACATAGCACTAATGAAACTGTGTCACCATACTAACGTTGTTTGACTGCGACAGGGACAGGGTTAGTTGCTGGTTAACCGTATCCACAAAAGAAGAAGAATCCGAAGAAGACGAGGGAAAAAAAAAAGAAAAAAAAAAAAGGAAAAAAAAAAAAAAGAGGAACATTTTCTACGTGCATTTCTTTAGCGCGATGGATGCGTTTCTTCACTGCGATAGGCACGCTCTGACCAAAGTGCAGACCTCAGAATATGCTTCTGTTGAGTGCAGACCATCAAGGTGGTTGTGTTCTGCAACTCAGTCAGTTTGCCGTCCTCACATTTCTCCTTGTTCGTCCAGTGGACCAATAGCCCGTGTATTCCCTGTCCCTGTGGATGCAGATCATCTACCTTGGTATACCTGATGGCCCCACTTGCCATACAGGCACTGACACATGCTTCTTCACGAAACTGGACCTGTCCAGTAATCTAGACGCAAAGAACGAGTCTTCTTCTAGTGAGGATGTTGCTTGTGCCCAAAGCACGCTTTTCCAACTAGAGGAAGTCATTGCGTCCCGTAGACGGCAGATGGAGCAGGAACAGCAGCAGCAGGAGGAGCAGAAACCAGGAGAAGCACGTGCAAAACCATCGTGGACGGCGCGTTTGCTCTCAAACCACTCGCTTCTTTGCTCCAAAATCAGGTATTGCTCCTTGATTTTGGTGTTATGCTCTTCATTCGAAGCACTATATGTTATTGCGCTGTAGCTTGCACTAACGGGTACCTTTGCTGTTAGGGAGGAGGCTGACGAGTTGTGCCAGACGTTGGAAGGGAATGAGACATGCGAAAGGACGGCTTCTGAGATGGCAGACGTTCTTTACCACTCTATGGTTCTGCTAGCTGTCAAGGTATGTGAAACATTTGATGGATGTATCAGTTTCCTGTTAGGACATTGAACTCATCTTGCAAGAGTGTTTTTTTCAGGGTGTCAAGATGGAAGATGTTGCTTCTCAGCTACGCGCCAGGTTCTCAATGTCAGGAATTGACGAGAAAGAAAGTAGGAAAATAAAGAACAAGCATTAACATTTTGTTTGCATAAGCTAGCAATAGATGATAATTTGAGAACATTGTACGTTATGTTCCAAGTACTATAGTACGGCATGTTTTTTGTGCCTTGATTGGTGCTTCACAGCTCTCCGTTTCAGGTCGACTCTCGGGCTGTGATCGGTACGTCCCACTCGGAGTGAGCCCACTCGGAGTGGAGAGGCCCGGTAGAGAGCACCGACATCCACCGAAACGAAGGAGTGTTTGTGGCCTTCCCAAATCTCGCGGTAAATTTCCTCCCTCCGAGGGGTGATCGGTTCACCAGCTTTACTCCGCCTGGGGAAGTTGCGATGAGGCTCACCCCACACTCAAATCCCGAACCGCCCTCCGAGTGGAGCTTGGAGTTCACCCTCAAAAGCTGGAGTTCGTGGTGGACCCACTCGGAGTGGGGTTTGCCCGTGAAAGATGGTTCCTGCTGGGTTCGTAGGCGGTCTACTCGGAGTGCGATAATCTGTGTATTTTGTCACCTTTTGGCCCACTCGCAGTGGGCAGGCTCGGTGTGATTGTAGTGGATACAAGGGCTTTAACTATGTGCGACTCGGGAGTTTGTGAACCCCGTCGCAACTTCCGCACTCGGAGTGAAGGGCGTACCGATCACGCCTCGATTCCCCCACCAAAGCCGGACCGGCCAATTGATATGATATTGTACACAAACTGAAGCACCCCTGTGGGTCGTATATCTTTCACGATGTGATTTGTTGGTTGATATCTTGCGAAACCGACGTTCTTGGAAGGGCTCCAATCACTGTGTGCGTTGCTTTCCATCTCCCATATTCGATGGATGTGCATGCACAGCTGCTGCTGCTGCTGCTGCTTCTGCTTCTTTCATCCATCTCAACTGAACTTGCCTGCCTATCTATTTTTCCCCGCCGCATGCGACCAGTTGATTCTCGGTTTTGTTCGTTGGGGGACGATTCTTTGATCTCCTCTAGCAATTTCAATGATTTCAACTTCCAATGCAAAATGGCTAAATCATCTACAATGTACCCTATATGTTGGGGGGTCAGACTTCCGCATCACGGTGTCGGCTTAGGGTCGCAAGGAAGAACTATATTTCTTACAAGTAAGCCGAGGGGTGCAACAGCATAAGTTTGCCTATACACCGAGGGGTGAATCGAGAAGTAAGTAATTTGGTCAGGGACCGAAAATTGCCAGTCGGATCTGACGACGTCAGCAGCAACGACGCTGCCTGTCACTCTGTGACCAACATCCAATCGAAGATTCTTTCTTTGGACCTGCCCTGTCGTCTTGTGTTGCCCTCCTCGGCGTGCTTCAAACTGCATCAACAATTCCTTCTTGCTTTCCCTGTCGTCTTGCCCATAAGCAACGAATATCCAATCTGCAGTTCCGCGTTGTGCCAGCCAACTAATCCAGGCGTGCTCTACGCCTTGGGGGAGGTCAGGATTCTGGAAAGATGAGGCATCACTCTTTGCCGAATCTTCTCACCCAATCTCCACCTTGTCTCCCACTCGCTCTCTTCAAGATTTCCTTCCGCAATTTCCTCCGCGGCTCCTTGCAATACCTCTCCTCCTTTCCCCGTTCTTGGCTGTTTGCATGCGTCCGCCACTGCACCAGCGCACCCGCTTGAAGCGTGCGCACGGCTAGCTGGCAGTCAGGGATGCTGCCTGAGTTGTGGCCCCCTCGATTTCCCCAGTCCATCCACCTGTCCTCGATTTCACCGACCGCACGCCTGACTCGAAATCATACAGCTCGCCGGACTGCGCTGTTTGGATCCAACGGTCCGCACACAGTCGCCCTCACCTCACTCCTGCTTCCGCTCCCCGCGCCCGCCCGCCCGCTAGGCTTCATCCAGCATCATCCGGGTACACTACACCCTTGTTCTCACCCATCTCACCAGCGGAAGCACTGGCTACAGTGTTTGGACGTAGCGGGCTGGTGAGATAACTTGGTTGCGGGCAAAGTCGCACGAGCCGAGGAAGCAGGACTTGGGCAGACAAATAACCGTTAACGCCAAATATCCGTCTTAACCGCGACAAAAAAAGCAGTACCATTCAAGAACCTTGACCTAACGCCTTGGGTCAAATTGTCACTATAACGCATGTGATAGGACCTTCTTTGGTCCGCTGCGGCTACACTAAGCCTCCCAGTTCGTATAACATATGCCAGTCTATCGAGAATATGGGTGTACTGTACAGTTGTACTGTGAGAGTGACTCCGCCAGCCTGAAGCGGTCCAAATGAGGAGACAGGAGCAGCGATGGTCCTAGCTAGTTTTCTTCCTCAATCCTAGACCCAGCTACCGTCTGCTCCCAATTCGACCTAGTTACTTGGGTTTGCATACCTATCAGTTCTCCTGCGCTTCAGTTTCCTGTGCTTCATTGTCAGTATCAGAAATGTGTGGAGCGTCAGATACCTCTTTCTCTTTTCCTGTCAGCCATCCGTCGTTCCTTCTACCCGATCTGCAGCCGTCCAAATCCATTGGCTCCTCCTTCCTCGTCGACGCGTCGATGCAGTCAAGCGATGGGGATCACGCGCTTCCTCTTTCTCTCTCAACTATCTCTCGACCTCCTCCATCTTCCAATGTTACGATCGACGAGCAGCAGCAGCAGCAGCAGCAGCAGGTGGACCGGCGGCCGTGCCTCCAGGAGGTCGATTTCTTTCGACCCCTCGCAGAACCTTCCGCTGACAGACCTTCCACCGCATCGGTCGGTGCATGCGAGTCGGCACCCGCCTTCCCGTCCTCTAGCACCGCCGCTGTGGGTCCCCTGGCTCGCCAAGGGAACCATGATAACGGTGAGCCAACGACCGGGCCTTGTGTCAATTACTCAGTCGTATCCGTAACTCCCCAGCCGCGCCTCCCCTCAGCACAGCAGAAACCGTTGTCCGCGGGCCGATCCCCGTTATTGGCGTCCTCGCTAGTGGCGTCGGTAGCCGAATGGTCCAACGTGATGATGCCGCCGCCAGCGACAGCAGGACCCGCCAAGAGCCCTCTACCAGGCACCTCGCTCACCAACGATCCGCATAGACCCGTTACCGCCCTTCGCCGACCGGCGGGTAACCCGGTCGTCGAGAAGCCGCGCGGAGACACGGCGGCGCCGGAAAAGGGCGACGGGTCGGCCAAGAGGCCGCGATGCGAGAGCCCGTCGCATCAGCTGCTACCCAGCCTGAGCAGCAGCACGGCCTGCACCGCCAATATCCGCGATAGTAGCCACCCCGCGATTACACGATCTGGCCGATCCATCCCGGCGTTACCCGTCCCAAGCAAGTTCTCATCGGCGAATCTCGTGCAGGATATTCAAAAATCGGCGCGCGGAGACCTGTCGCTGGACCTTCCCCCGCCGTGTTGCTCCTGGATGTGCATCTACTTCTCCGTGCCGTGCCGCAAGAAACGCCGCCTCGCGCCGTCCTCTACCACCAGCGGAAGGACCAACAGCGTCAGCGCGGCTGTTAGCGGAAGCATGATCAGCGGCGGCGGCGAAAGCGGCGTGATCAGGAGGCGGAGGGCGGCTCGCCCCGTCGCGCTTCCCGCGTCGAGCGGTAACAGTCTGTCGGTCGCGGCGGGGGCTCCGCGAAACCCGCCGCGGGGGCCGGCGGCGAGGGCGGCGAGCGTGAAGGAGGAGCGTGACGTATGGGCGAGGGACGATCAATCCAAGGCCAGCGGTAGTAAAGGCGGTGCGCATCCGGCGAGATGCGACGGCGCGAACGAGAGTGCGAACGCCGGGGATTCGTCGGTGCACGGAGGCCTAAATACCGCGCTGGCGTCAGCGTTAGCTGCAGCAAGAGGCGGTTTGTCAGCAGCAGCAGGAGCCACGTCAGCAGGAGGGGATGTCTCTGTATTGTCAGTTGCGGGGCGCAATCCGGTGGGAGCGGGGAGCCAGCTAGCAGGCACGTCGGCTTCAGAGCTGCTGGCGTCGTACGCCGCGTCTGGCTGTGCGTCGCCTGCCCTCCGCGCGTTCCTCGCGCTCTCCCCACAATTGTCGTCTCTGCTCATCCCGCCCCGCGCTCCCCCTTCCGCGTTGGAAGATGCGGATGGTGCGTCTGCGCTTCTGAGGCGGCTGCAGGGTGACTCCGCTGCTGCCGCCGTGGCTGCTGCCGCTGCTGCTCGCATGCACCTCCTGCAGCAAGCCTCTGCCGGGCAACAGCAGCAGCAGCAACAGCAGCAGCAGCAGCAGCAACAGCAGCAGCAGCAGCAGCAGCAGCAGCAGCACCAACAACAACATCAACAGGCGGTGCTACATAATCAGAAACAACAGGTACTAACACAACACCAGCAGCAGCAGCAGCACCAGCAGCAGTCAACTCAACCAATAGCTGGTCTGGGCACGGCATCACACGCAGACAACAGTCATCTCCCACAATTGCAGCAGATGCTGCATGGCAGTGCAGCAGCTCACCATACCTCAGTGAGCGATGCAAACCATGAAACCACCAATTTGCGTGTTCAGTGTCTTTCTCAGGGTGCAGGCAGAGCAGCACCGGCCTTACCAGCACCAGCAGCACCTCTAACCACCATGGATAACACCCTTCAAACCTCTCCCCAAGACGCGCCTTGGCATGTGCCGGCTCCCCTCAGTGGAGGAGGCTATGGCCATTCCGTTGCTGATCCCAGCAGCGACCGAGTTTCGGGTTTTATCGCAGGAGAGCAGGGACGGGAGGCTTGGAAGACCAACACTCTTGACCTCTCCCTGCGGTTGTGACACGTCAGTGTGGGGATTGAGCTGGTCATTAGGTTGAGCAAATTACTAAGTTTTTTGCATGTCTGGCCATGTTATTGTTGTGTTGTTTGTACAGTCACCTTCATGTTTTGAAACCTTCACCATATTTCAAAAGATGTCGCATATAGTGATGCGCTGTTCACTGCTCCGTATTGTGTGTTCGAGTCAACTTGAAACGAACATTTAGGGCCACCATGGTGAGAACGCCTCCTACCATCCTCACCGCACCGCTTACCACTCCCTCCGAACCTTTCGAAGCGCCAACTGGCCGTCTGCCGCCGGCACTCGTCTACTCTGACTGAACGCGGCGTGATGGTGTATGGGTTTCGAATTAATGTCACCTTTTTCCCCACTATCAATTGTCCGTGCGAGTGTCGTGTATCATTAACGTGCAGACCAGCTACGCTTGACTTCTTAGCGTCGGCATTGGACTTTTGCGCATAGGGAATTCCATCACTGAAGCGGACGTCGCACACATCTTCCATGTCGGCCTCGGCTGCAGCAGAAAGTGCGTTTTTGGTCTTTGAGTTCGGAGTGACCGAGCGATCACCGTGCACTTCCAGTTGCAATAGAATAAAGCCGGGCACGCTTTCTAGCAGCAGCTCCATCAGCAGCGATTGGCGCGATGCGCGGAACAGTAGCAGTGGCGGAGGCAGGGGGGCAGTCGGCTCATGGCGGAGAAGCGCGCGGAGGAGGGAATTGTGCGCTGCTGTTTGTGGATCAGGAGGAGGCGGAGGGGGAGCGGGGGGAGGAGGCGACAGCATGGACAAAGTCCGGCTTTTGATTGGTGGGCTCATAATTCGCCTCGTCAGTATCCAGATAGAAGTCATTGTGGGCGTTTTTGACAACGCAAGCGCATTGTCGAGTTTGGAAAGGAAGGTGTAGTCTAGATGGTCATTAAGCCCGGATGCCTTTCATGGCTGCAGGCATTGCGACAAGGGATGACAAGAAGCGAGGGTTTGGCCCACCTCCTCCTAAAGACAAGGCTGCAGGCTCGGGGTTTGTGAATCTGACAGGTAAGTGATGTGGTTGACATAACAGATGACTGACACATCTCAATCTCACAGATTGCTACAGTTGTTACGTAACGGTTCTGCTGATAATGCTGTTTTGCGTGTAACGGATTGTGAATCTCACAGGAAACCTTTGGCCAAATCTGCCATTTTCTCAGAAACCTTGCGTTATTGATCACGTAGAGACTGCAAATGACGATTCAAGTGGAACCGATACATTCCACAAATGGCGAAACACTCGATTCCACATGTGACATAGGAAATTCAGTTGGCTCCCTTTTCTTAAAGCTTCCCCTAAATTCCCCAATGCGAATAATCAGGTAGGGAGGACCTGATGGCTGGTCGCAGGCAATTCGACCTTGCCTTCTCTTCCTCCACGCCTCCCGAAGCCCTGCTGGCTCAGGCACGGGCCCGAGCCAAGGCACGGACCATTGCTAAATCTCAGGCTCGGAAAGCTGAGGTCATTTGGCTACTGCGGGTGAGTTCCAACCGCTAGAACGGCATGATTTTCGCTAGAACGGCATGCGTTTCGAAAGTACGTATTGTTTTCCTGTATCTCACCTGTCAGCTTACATAAAGGCAGGTTTGCCAGTACAGCCTTTCCGCACTCTTCTTTTGCTGCTCTCAGTCCTCAATATGTGCCACACCACTCATCTTCTTCCCATTGTCCCAGGTTTGGATGGCTGTTGCTTGGACTACTTACTGCTCTCTTGGTGCATTTGCTGCCTTCATATGCCATCAACCAGGTGCGACTGCTTGCGCTGCTTCCTTTTCTCATCTGAAAAAGTCTGTTTAATGCTTACCTCACAACTTTTCTTTGGTTGCTACAGGCAATCAGCTCCCTGCTTCAACTGCTACAAAGTGGTTCTCCAAGATATCGCTAGCTGGATTCTAGCATTTACTGAGTTTTCATGCCATAGGTTGATAACAGAAGCGACCGTATGTCATTTGAGATGCAATGGTGGTTAGCTAGCCTTGATGGTTGATTTCCATTTTATACCATTCCTGTATGTGGTGGTGTACATTTTTTCAGCAACTCGCTGTGCTAGACGAAATGCGTGTACCTATTTTCAGATCCACCTCAATCTGCCTCCTTACACCTTGTGGAGCCAAGTCGAAACGGCTGAGGATTTCCCGTACCTGAGGTCTGGATTCCCTAACCTACCACAGCCTTCCAAGCAGCCTTGAGCCGGGAGGCTGACGTGCCATTCATCCTACCTGGCTAGTGGACAGCCTGGCTCAGGCGTGCGTGTGGCGGCAGCCAGCCCACATCAACCATTCCACCCACGATACGCGGCTGGAAACCGCCAAGTGTGTTTTTCCCGCCCTCCACCGCTTGGGGACCTCAGAACCCTCCAGAAATATTGGGCAATGGCTCTCTGCCGGGCGAATGAGCTGAGCAATTCTCGCCAAACACTCGGAAAGCGAGCCGAAAGTGGCGATCTTCCTGAGGCTCTTCCGCCAATCAGGGCGCTGTTTTCTCCCTCTTCGTCATCCTTCCCCATCCAAATCCGACGGAGGAAAAGGGTAGTGCTACGTCAGCAACGTCGTCTCTGACGTTCAGGATAAGGCCTTGTCGCACAAACAAACAACAACTGACGGTATAGATTTGTTGATGACGCAAATGTGCGGGAGACGGTGATGTGATCACGCGTGCGAGTGCGTCACTTTCGCTGCAAGTGACTGGACAGAGGCGTGTCATGTTCCCACTGTTCAGAGCCCATGTTCCGGGGCTGTTGCCTCCTGTAAGAAATCACCGAGAGCAGCAACAGCAGCACTCCTCCACCCCCTCCTACTCTCCTCGCCGCGCGTCTCGTGGCATCCAAGCAGATCCGCGTCCGACCAATCCTGCTTGCGTGCCTATGCTTGCCAGAACTGTGAGCGAAGGGGGCTTGGTGGGGTGGAATGAGATAAGGTAGGGTGGGGTGGGATGGGGATGGTGTTGGGCTGGTCTGGTTGCTCGCTCGCTTCACTGGTCACATTCTCCACTATCTCACTCACACGTCTTTCATCCCTATCTTCTACACTCGTGTGAGGTGTGCTGGGTTCGCCCTCTATCTACACCGCCTTACCTTAGCCACGCTACCCGCTTGGCGGCGCTTGGCTTGGAAGTTGGTGGTCGCTCCAGGCAGAACCAGAGTCGAGACCTGTTCATGAACGTGTGTGGCTGATCATTAGGGACTCTCTTGATCATTTGTGCTTGATTGCTTGCCTCTGCTGTCCCGCACCTGTCGTTGTGCGACGAAGTGTAACTGGGCTTGGTCAGCTATCTTCTGACTTTGGCCTCCGCAAAACCCTCGCCCTCGGATGGCCAACTAACAAAAGGAAGTCGCGCCCTTTATTCCATCACACAATTGCATTGCCTCATTAATACTAGTAGCGCTGCTCGTGCGATCTAGATTTGAAAGCAGAAAATGAGTTGCAACGGATGTAGGGTCCTGCGGAAGGGATGCAGCGAGAGCTGCGTGTTGCGCCACTGTCTGGGGGGAATCGAGGGCGCGGAGGCACAGGGCCACGCGACGCTGTTCCTCGCCAAGTTCTTCGGCCGCGCGGGCCTCATGGGCTTCGTCACAGCCGTTGACGAGAGTCAACGCCCAGGTACCCAATGGGCCGCTGACTTCCCGCGTTTGTGCCAAGCAGCACCCAATTTCGGCCTTACGACTAGATAGTTCAGTGACGTGGCTTCCGGCATTCCTGCTCCTGCTCTCCGTCTCGCATTACCACTGAATTGCTCACTCTGAGTTCCCGCTAGTTGCTCGGTCCTGCATTTTCTTAATTACGGTGGGATCTACTCGCAAGGTCTCGTATCTACACAACGCCTCGCGCTTTTGTTCACAATCGTCACGAAAACCTTAATTGTGCCTGTAATTCCCCCATTCCGCCATTCCCCATTTCCGCCTCTCCGCCTCCCCGCCGCTCCGCCCGGCAGCGCTATTCCAGTCGCTGCTGTTCGAGGCGTGCGGGCGAACCATCAACCCGGTCTTCGGCTGCGCGGGGCTGCTCTGGACGGGCCAATGGCACCTCTGCGAGTCCGCCGTCGATACCGTCCTTCGCGGCGGCTCCATCCACCCCAACGCTAACGCCAACGCCACCGCCAGCGCCGGCGCCGCCGCCAATCCCGCCGCGGCTGGAAGCGTCACACCCGGCGCAGCGGCAGCGCCTCCGCAGTCGTCCGCGCTGCCCTCCGCGGGAGTGACGCTGCCGTCGTCTGGGTCCGTTGTGATGGTCCCCACTCCCGCGTCCGCGCCCGCCACGTCCGGAACGACCTCCGGAACCACCGCCGTCGCCGGCGCAGGCGCGTCCTCCCCTCCGCTCCCCGTCGCTGGCGCCGCCGGGATGGCAAACCACCGCCTTGGGATCTCCGCGTCGCCGCTTCCGGCGCTTCCGGGCGCGACGGCGGCGTCCGCGGCATCGACGATGGGGCCGTTCGGAATGCACCCCGGC